CAACTATATTACATTATAAACGCTATCATCAAATGCCAGCACTACCCAGAATGCCTCAAGACTGGGCTTGTGGTACCTATCCCAAAACAGGGCAAGGACCCTAAGTCCACCAATGGCTACCGCCCCATATCACTGCTTAGCGCCGTGGCCAAGGTCGTGGATAGAGTCCTCTTACGACTCATCACACACCACACTAATAAGCTGGACCTCATACCAAAGGAACAGTTCGGGTTCCGCAAGGGGCACAGCACAGTGTCCCAAGTGGCCCGAATTGTTCACGAGGTTAAAGAGGCCAGCAACAACAACAAGAACACCGTCATGGTCATGATGGACGTAGAGAAGGCATTCGACACCGTCTGGCACGAGGGTCTAATGTCCAAACTGCATAAGGCAAGAATGCCGATTTTTATCATTAAGATTATCGATGCATATATCAGCAACAGGAAAATCCGGGTCAAGGTCAACGAAAGTATATCGGGAGATTTTCCACTCGAGGCAGGTGTTCCGCAGGGGTCGTGCCTTTCACCTCTGTTATATACCCTATACACACATGATTTCCCTGTATTCGAGCGGACGAGTACAGCATTGTATGCCGACGATACGGCAATATATGCTCACTCGGACGACTCGAATATCGCCAGGGCACAGATCCAGATTCATCTGGACAGGGGAATCATACCGTACTTTGACGAGTCAAAGATCTGCATAAACAGCGCAAAGACTGAGGTCATCAATTTCCACAAAAAAGTCAACAACTCCCGACTGAGCAGACCTTTGACCGTGAAAGGGGTTGAGGTGGCAGACACGACCACCGTGAAATACCTGGGAGTCAAATTGGACACCCGTATGAGTCTGAGAAAGAATACGAACTACCTCATCCAGAAAACCCATAATGCCATCAAAAAGATGTACCCCTTGATATCCAGGACCTCAGCTCTCTCGCAGGAGAATAAGGTCCTGGTATACAAGCAGGTCATTAGGCCAGTGATGACATACGCGTGTCCAGTGTTCTGCAGCATCTCACCTACTCATATGAATAGGTTACAGGTGCTGCAGAATAAAGTACTCCGTATTATCACTAATGGTGATAGATACTCTCGGGTGGCAGATCTCCACGAGAGATGTGGTAATTTGCCGAGAATCGACGAATACATCTTGAAAATCTCTAATAGATTTTACAAATACCACATCGCTGGAAGTGACCTTACCCGGAATATGACAACAGTCAGACAACACCATAACATCCATAAAAAACACGGACTGATATATGCATCAACCGATGTTTTTAGGGAGCCTGATAATCTATAGTCGGGAACATCCCCGGGTGCTCGGACATGTCCGAGCCACCGAGGAGACTCTTGACAGCACTATCTCCCAAGCACGAAAATAACATAGTGTCGTAAAAGACACTGAACTCGGTCAGAAGTGCCCATGTGGAAACGCATGCGCACAACTGCCCGAGACAAACAAGAAGGAGGTTTTTTATTTTATTTTTATTTCATTTTTCCTCCAACGACTCAGCAACCCTTTCCACTCTGATCGCGCACGAGCAGCTCCCCCACCCTATGGGTACCACCAGCGAGATTACCTGTATAAAGGGCCTAGCCCTAGGAGATAGGTCACTGCGACGAACACCTCACATATCCTCTCATATTCCTTGGCTAACACCAGCCACCTCTGCGACTGCGGAGGGACGTTCAGTCATACTCACAGATATGGCAAGCCCATTATACACAAATATGTTGATGTTATATGTGTTGTATTGTAAGAACTGTGTCAACGAATAAATGAATTTAAGTTTTTTTTTTTTTTTTTGCTCTGATAGTCTTGAGGTCACGAGTTCGATCCCTACTTGGGTCACTTTTTTTAATTTTAGAATATGTTTATTGGAATATTCCAGGAACATTCAACATAGAATATTCTTTTGGGTATATTCTATGATTATCTGAGGAATACCCATTCGCATATTTAGAGAATATTCTTCAGATATTCCGGAATATTCCAGATTATTTCTAGAATATTCCAATATTCCAAAAGGAATATGATAGGGAGATTCATGGAATATCTGGTGCTGTCTGGGTATGTCCCGACATGTACGTCTTAAAGACGCCTTTAAGACGTACTTTCGCTGATTGGGATATGCTTATCAATGTTTTGAGTCATATGTCAAAAAATCACTAAATTTCTGTAGACCATACTCACGACTTCATTGAAATGATCTTATATTATGATCCTATAATAATCCCATATTATGATCATCTTCAAATATGAAAAAAATCTTCGAACATAACTTTTCAGGTTTTTAAGGAATATGTATGCTTTCATCGTTTTTTCTTTCGTATGATTGGGAGAATACTCAATGACCATATATAGTTGTTATCTAGAACATAAAGGTGAATGCCCAGCATTGGCCTTTTTAAAGATAAAGCAAACGAAGTTGCTGTATTTCCCGGCAACACCAAAATCAATAAAACGATGAAGGGCCAATACTTATTTGCTTCACTGGCAAAGTGACTACAAGAATTTGAAAGGCCAACAGATTTTTGCCGCTGAAGTCATTTTCCCCAGCAAAGGAAGCATTGGGCCAATAACTTCCCGGTAGTTCATTGTTTGTTGGGTAGTGAATTAACAATTCCATGAAAAACATCAATGCAAGACTCTACGTTCAGATGTGAGAGTGTTGTTACCCAATTTATGTGACGTAGTCTGTCATTTATTGAAATATAGTCAGCTTTATCGAATAATGTTTTTGTATAATTCTTTGCGTTCATCAGTTTATCTGTGCTGAGTTCCAGATGTATTTCTAGTGAAACATGATGTGGATCTTCATCAACAAATGGGAAAACACATTGTTTGACTCTAGGATTGGATATTAGCGACAGAACAAGATCTAATTGATTGCCGTTGGCATTTACAATGTCAGAGTGTTGTTTGAGATTCAAGAGTGATATATGGTATTAGTGAAATGATTACTGATAGTATCTCCAGCATTTAGAGGACAGTGTGATTGAAATTCCACATTATAGGCCCAACGTATTTTGGGAAAATTGAAATCGCCGACCAATAATATTTCATCGCTAAATTTGTTATTATTAATGATATTGATCAGTTTATGAGTAAACATCTCCAAGACGTTCAGTTTCGCGTGGGGAGGTATATGTAAATACAACGACCTATATGCAATCTCTTACCCTTCATTCAATGCTACAGCCCAGACAGCACCAGATATTCCATGAATCTCCCTATCATATTCCTTTTGGAACATTGGAATATTCTAGAAATAATCTGGAATATTCCGGAATATCTGTGGAATATTCTCTAAATATGCGAATGGGAATTCCTCAGATAATCATAGAATATACCCAAAAGAATATTCCATGTTGAATGTTCCTGGAATATTCCAATAAACATATTCTAAAATAAAAAAAAGTGACCCAAGAGGGATCGAACTCGTGACCTCAAGACTATCAGAGCAACGCCTTGACCACTAGGCCAGTAATCGAATTGAATAATGTTATACATATCAAGTTCTTGTGAGAGCATTGTTCGAAATCGGATCATAAACACTTTTTGTTTCAAAATCCCCTTACATCTAATTGATGTTCGATACTCACATCTCTGAAATAATAAATGGTATTTATGTGTTGAGAAACATAGGAATATTCATGGAATATTTCATGAATATATACCACAGAATATTCAGTTGAGAATATTTCATGAATATACCGCACAGAATATTCAGTTGGGTATATTTCATAAATATACCGCACAGAATATTCAGTTGGGTATATTTCATGATTATACAACAGAGAATATTCAGTTGGGAATATTCCTGGAAGATTCATACCTGAATATTCCCTGAACATGTCCGACTATTCACTTTGGAATATTCCTTTTAGATGTTCCAGAGGCATGTATATATTCTAGGAATAATCGATGAATATTCGGAATATACTCCCCAGTTAACACAGATTGATCCCTGAGATTTTAGAGGGCGTCACATTCATGGCACACATCACACCCGTGACTCGAAATGAGAGTCCCGCTGAAATCACAATGACTGCTATTCCGGACCCTTTTGGTCATTTTACGATTCACATCATGATGCCAAATGAAACTCGCAGTACGTATTGAGCGACTCGCCATTCAATATCAGAATTGGTTGATTCGATTTGTTACATAATCAAACAAGAATGTGAGGTTCCAGTGAGTATCTTGGTTGTTTGGGAGCATCACAAATTTACCTACATTTTGAGTCTCAAATCCAATGAAATGTGACGAATATTGCGAATGTTTTGTGAAATTAGGAGTCCCATGGCAATACCAAGGATGTTTGCTTGTAATTCGCATTGTTACCTAGCGAGCCATGAATGTGACATCCCAGGGATGTTTGTGTTTACTGGGTCCTCCTTTTTAGCATATTTAGAGAATATTCTATGAATATCCACTGCTGTCTGGGAGATACCCACATGTTTTCTACTATTCCATTCGTATTCCAATCGGGGACACTAAATGACACTAAACTGTTTGATACCCCAATCAACATCCCCCCTTCATCACTTTTTCCACTAATTTGAGAATCACGGTCATTTCTGTAAACATTGTAGGAGTCGGTGAAAAGTTCAGGGCTCCGTATCTCATCCTTGAGCCATGTTTCTGTGACGCAGATGATATCAAATTCCGAGGCACTTGATGATTTATAGAATTGTTCAGTTTTAGTTCGTAGACCTCTTGTGTTTTGGTAATAAATTTTCAATTGCTCAGAATCGAATGTGAAAGGGATTTCGAATACTTTGTGATTGGGGACGAAAATTTAGTTTAATCGTTGTAGAGTAGTTTCATCCTTTACTTGTATTGCTCTTCCATGATCTTCTTTTTTCTATGAAGATTTTCAAATCCTTAACCCAATAGTATTTGTACTGATTAGCAGGACAAAATTCTCGGGGTTTTTTATAGGCGATTTTATAGTAGGGTGAGAGGTGCTCATTTACAAAAACAGCCTATTTAGGACCCTCGATACCAAAGTCGGTTGTATACATTTTTCCGGTTTTCTTCTGATGGCGATATGCTTGAATGAATTGGTTGCGTTTTGTAATTGTTGAAAATTTGATAACTATATTCTTCGGTAAATTTGTGTTGGTCGCACTAGGATGTCTCATGACCCTGTGAACTTCATCGAGTTCGGAGTCGACGATGTTTATGCCCAGGTGAACGCCGACATTCTTAATGACCTGGGAAATAATTTCTCCCTTTCTTTCAGGTATTCCACTTATTTCCACATTTTTGGCTCTAGATTGTTGTTGAAGAAACTGAACTTCGGATCTGAGTTCGGAGCACTCATTTTTCAGAAATAAGATTTCTTGTTTGGCAGTATTCAAATCTTTCATCATGACCTTAACAGTTTTCATTTGCCTGGTGAAATCGTCAATTTTATCCCCGTAGAATTTCAATGAGTCCATGACTTCAGTTTGATTACATTTAATACCAGTCATATCAGCAAGAACTATATTGATTTTATCCATCATTTCAGTCATCAGCGGAGAGGATATTCCCGCGTTCGGAGTTCCCTGCTTGCACTGTTTACAAAGCCAAAGAACACCTGAGTCAGCTGATAAGTCGGCCAAGCCAGGTGGCAATGACACACATTTCAGGTGATACTGTTTTTTGCAGCGACCTTGACACTGGATACCCAAGTTGGACCGGCTTATCAGCACGGTGCAGAGGCCACATTGTTCGGGCATGGTAAAAACTTGGTTTTGTTTTTGTTGTCTATCGTTAGTCCGCTGGTTTGCTGTTAGATGCACTCGATCAAATTCTGTTCATGGGAATGGGATGAGCACTGATTAATTATCTCACTGGATGCACCATCAAATGTTGATCACTATGATACTAATTACTTGTTTGTAAAGTTGCTATATACTTAGAAAAAACGCGGTTTAAGCGGAGCGATACAAAACGTGTCGTGTCACATACACAGCACGCGGATTTTTCATATGAAGAACTTTCATCGGTATTATGCGATTGTGAATCTATATATTGTCAATTCTAGACCACTCACACTATATCTCTGAAGATGGAGTCAGACCCTAGTATCATTAACTCCTGCTATGTTTCTTCAGGATATAAGGGAAGTTGGTGTTCCAGATCTGGATTTGGCAGAAGCAGATTCCTTGAAAAGGAGATACAGATACAGATGTAAAGCCTACGAAGACGAAAATGGGCGGAACTTCAAGATCGCAAGATCGGAATATATCTTTGAAGAAGGCTCAAGTAGTTCTTCAGATTTACATGAAGCTGTCTCTGGGACTGGGACCTCTAAACAAACTGAAGAACGCGATATGGCTACCATTAAAATGACATGGGTCGTTATGTTAGTTCAATTCAATTCAATTTATTGATGGTGATGTACAACATAGTGAATATAATCGTAGTGATTTCAGATGAGTATCATTGAATATATAACTTTTTAACCCAGTTTGCGTTGCCTGCTACACCTGAGCACTTGAGTGATTATCGTGTTGTGCTTTGCAGTACTCCTCAATAAAAGGAAGTTGTGAGTGAAGTATGGTTGACGCTTGAATGGGGAGAAATAGAAGCTCGAAATCGTAAGGTTGGATATCAGATTTTTTGTGATACTTTCAAAAGAGATTATATCAATTCTTTCTTTGTTGGTGAGTAAAAATTTTTGTATGGAATATTTGAATTTGTTTAGTTTTTCATTTTTTTTCAATTCTAGTGGCGGATATAGGTATAAAGTTTCGGACCATGGAAAGTGTACAAATCTTTGCGAATGACTTCTTTTAAACCTTGCATGAACAATGGCAGATTCACAGACATATTTTCACATGATCTGGTGAAAGCAAGTACACAGAAGTTATTCATCATCTGAGTCTGCTGTTGAATACTGAAAGCGGTCAATAATCATCCCCTATCTTGATTCTTTGACTTCATCTTTGGATGCTAGATTCTCCAACGAAAATACACCTGCTTTTGCTTTAACTTATCTTTATTCTTCAAGCATCCTCAAAATGGATTCAAAAGGTTTCAAAAGTAATGCAGAATCTTTCATGGGATTTTATAAGTTGGGTGAATTAGAATCAGATTTGTGGTACAATATGTGGAAGAAAAAGCATTTAGCAAAAGACAAGTTGAAGGACATTGAAAAGTCTGCACTTGGAGGAATAAGCTAATGTTTTTTCCCTGCAACACTGCACTATTTGATACAGCATGGCAATAAAAAGTTGACTGAAAAAACATTCTTTTTGAAAATAGTTTATTTAACCTTGACTTATATATAAATACATGAACAGAAATAAAATTTCGTATTTGTGAAAAAGCTCACAATAATTCAACAATTTCCAATTCAATCATAGAAATGCAGACCAGGTTTGCTGCCTTCATTCTTAATACCATATAAAAATTCTAAACAATCATTCGGAATGATTCAATTATTTCAAGATTCTGCGTTACAAAAGGCACCATGTATCAGCTTTATATTTTCAGAAGATTATAATTAGGCAACCATATACAACAACGGATTCAATTCCTTGTACATAAGGTTTATAATAAATATCCTCATAGTATTTTTAACTCCACACATCAGCGGAGAATCGTTTTTGAGTTTCCATTTTCTTCAAGTAGGCCAAAGCTTGTTGTTCAGTCATCTGGCCCTTTTCTTGTAGAATTTTGATAAGAATAGCTCTGACATCGAAAGCCATCGTTTTAGCATCTCTGTAAAAATAGAATGGTATCATTAAAGCAGGTTTGAAGGTTAAGAAATACATTTTCATGGTAGATATCGAATACTTTTGAGATAACTGTATGACGTATTTTATATCTAAATATAGAGACCTATAATAGTACTATCATATGCAGAACTGTATGTTGTGCTGACATTCAGCTGAAATTATATTCAGAATGCAAATATGGACCTTACAGTCAATTTCGAGATTAGTCATCTAATATGGTTGATAATAGTGATATGAGCTTAACAATCATTGATATTCTACAAAGAGAGACTCAATTTCTTCGATAACAAACATATCTTGTAGTGCTCCAGGAAACGAATAAGAGAACTAAGGAACTGCCCCTTCCTATGCTGTCTACGTACCACGAATGAAGCCGAGTCAGCCATCTTTTAGTGGATATGTGGAAATTCGAGCAATACGAAAGAACCTGGGATCAATTTTCATAGATTGGTTCTTCATTGAGATCTTGGTTTTTGCATTGTTATATGAATAGAGAGAGAATCAGTTATTTACCTAAGAGAAATATTTTCAACGTATTTGCGACTGATAAAAGTGCGAGTTACGTGATCTGTTTGGTGCCTTGATTATGGCTTCATTTTTAGAGTGATCGGGCAGTTCCGAGGAATCCTGGGTAATTCCGAAGTTTTCCGGAAAATTACGGTTAATTTCGGGGAATCCATATGAAACATTCATCTCCAAGATAATAAACAAAACATCGAAATTCGAAATTCAGGTGTCTTGTCTATGTAGCGATTCTCTCATTTTGCAGCATGAGTCGTATATAGGTGAATGTTGCAAATCTTACGAGTAGGAGATTAACATTCTGTGCGAGTCATACACTATACTTTTTTAACGGCTGTAACAGATGACAGCTGATCTTTTTTATTTCTTCGGCTTGTAACCATCTGATTTTTTATAAAGTGATGCTGATCTATGAGGCAGCGCTGTCATTGCTTGAAATTCAACATTTTATGGGAGATGGGATTTTGTGAAATAATAACACAATGAAGTCATTCTGATATCACATACGGAAATAAAATTAAAGGCATACAAAGTACCTCATTGATTTATCGAAATGAGTAAAACAAGAGCATTTTTGTGTTACAGCCGTGAAAAAATTCAGCTTGTCGTTGATATCCATATCCAGAGCAGTATAGTAGGGCCAAGAGAAGTATATTCAATTGCCCTCCAAATGCTCTTCTTATTAGAACAAAAGGAAGTTCAATGATTTACGCGAAGAATATAGGTATTTTGAATTTGTAAATTATCAACCTATTTATAATTTCAGAACATTAATGATTTGAATGACTAATCCAAAGCGAGCAAACAAGTAAATACGACTATGACCGGTTCACAAGTTCTACCCACAGAATGACCATGACATTTACTAAAAACTTCTGCCTGAAGATTTGCTTTTCCTCGACTTTTATTGAAAAAATAAACAAGAACCTCAATGAAAACAGGCCATTGATGCCTTCAAGTTGAATATAATGTTTTGGATTTTTGTTGGTATACGGACTCTCGGGAATACTCCAGGACGATCTAGCCTTCATAGCCACCTAGTGGCTCAAGTGCAAGGTATATAGGTAGATTGATAATTAAGCCACTAGATGGCTATGAAGGCTAGATCGTATTTCTGCCCCCTCAGGGCTTCGACTTGTTTGATATTTGGAGGAACCCTTCGTGAATCGATTGTCAGCTGGCCAGTGCAACTGATGAGACTTATGGCAAGTCGAAACAGTCTGTCTTGCATCAGCTGACAATCGATTCACGAAATTTCCCTAGAATCTCTAAGTATTGAGATTCTAGGTTTATCACCATCTGTTAGTGGAACATTAAACCACTTTGAGAATTACAGGTGTTGCGATAGTCTACAAAATCTGACATGGATGTCTTTTCTGTAAGCATATAGCCTTAGGGGTCTATATGCACGACTTAGTCGCAAGGTATGATTGATGAATCTACCTATACACCTTGCACTTTAGCCCCCTCAGGACTTCAAATTATTTTAATGTTAAAGCTGTCAGAATTTCCCTAATTGTAAAATTTTCAGGCGCCCACGGCCATTTAAAAATACCAAGGAGCGCTATCAACAGTTTTTCAACAGTTTTTTTTATCTAGTACATAAACTTTCACGGACAACAGACTGATAGTTTTTGCATGGAAGGAATGATATGAAAATATTGAAATGAGTCAGTATCCCTTGCTTGCTAAAGATTATTTAACACTACCCAATCAATAATTTACATTACTTCAACCTCGTTCAGATAATTTTTGATTTATTAATATTCATTTGAAGTTCTTTCATTTTCGATTTTTCATTAGTTGCTGAAAATAAGAAATACGAGAAAACAAAAAAGTCCATGTTCAATGTATGTTACTTTCATAAAACTGATAGAGAATTCTATTACTGATATCAGTGACACTTATTTATCCTTATTACACAAATGGGTGCAATATATTCATTTTTTAATTCAAGAAACGAGGGGAAAATAAATTAAAAAATCAGAAGAAATTGACATTCACCTGCTCAGTTAACCATTAGAGAGTATTCAAATATTTTATAATTTCATAGCAATAACATCACAATTGAAAATAAAATTGAATGAAATTGTAATTCTCAATTTGAAGGCATTTGATTGAACTTTAAAAAGATTCGTCTGCGGCGCATTAACTAACGTGAAAAAACTGACGCCCCTGGTAAGATTCCGGGGAAAATTCCGAAAGAAAACTGAGATATCGCGCAATAGCATCGAAAACAAGGCACACTGTATACATTTTTCCTCAGTGGTCAACACCCCGGGTAGTTCCTTAGTTCTCTTTATTATTTATTCGCAGGGGCGTCCGCAGAAATAATCTCAGGAGAAAGCAAGCCACAATGAAGATATAGGATATCCAGTACATATAAAAAAAAACAGTTTTTGCATGACCTGCGGTATCTCATTTCCTAGGCTGAAAAAAATCAGGGATTTTTCTGGCAAAAAATCAAAACAAAACAAGCAATATAACTACTCTTATTCATCGGTCTTCATGATAATCAAACTTAATTTTGCGTCCTGATTCTTATTTTGGTAAATTTGAAATGTTATATTGACAATTAAATAGTATATACATCTCGAAAGTGAGTACTTTTTTAGTCAGGGCATTGTAGCGCCGTCTACAAAAGCTACTGGGGAGCAAATTATGCATTTTACTCCCTGGATTATCAATCTACTATTATTCTATATAAAACATGGGAATAAAACAGGAAAAAACAAAATCAATTGAATTGACAGCCAAAATTATGATACAAGATTGCACCTGATAATGATCATAATCTGGTTGGAAAAAAAATTGCATACTTCTAGAGTCTTGCACGAATTTATCAATAACTTCATTGATAAAATTAACTCTATCTCTATTTCTGATAAGATGTCGAGAAAAACTCATTGAACGAAGTCTCTAATAAGCGAATCGGGATAGGGATTGAATAAACAAAATTGCACCTGATAATAATTATGATCTTGTTTGAACAGAAACTGCATTCTTCTAGAGTCTTGTACAAATTTATCAATTACTTCATTGATAAAATCAACTCCATCTCTATATTTGTGTAAGATGTCGAGGAATACTCATTAAACAAAGTCTCATATAAGCGAATCAGGATAGGGATTGAATAAACAAAATTGCACCTGATACTAATCATAATCTTGTTTGAACAGAAACTGCATTCTTCTAGAGTCTTGCACAAATTTATGAATCACTTCATTGATAAAATCAACTCCATCTCTATATTTGTGTAAGATGCCGAGGAGTACTCATTAAACAAAGTCTCATATAAGCGAATCAGGATAGGGGTTGAATAAACAAAATGGCACCTGATACTAATCATAATCTTGTTTGAACAGAAACTGCATTCTTCTAGAGTCTTGCACAAATTTGTCAATCACTTCATTGATAAAATTAGCTCTATATCTATTTTTTCATAAGATGTCGAGGAATACTCTTTAAACAAAGTCTCTGATAAGTGAATCAGGATAGGGATTGAATAAAAAAATTGCACCTGATAATAATCACAATCTCTAACTCTATATCTATTTTTTTATAAGATGACAAGGAAAACTCATTTAACAAAGTCTTTGATAAGCAAATCATGATGGGGATTGAATAATGAAAATGTATCTTGTTGAGAAAGTATGTGAGTTATAACAAGGCGCTAGGTGGATGAAGCAAGCAAAACTCACCCGCAAATGTACAAGTGGCCGTTATTATCGCCGATCACCCGCCACACCTCATCAGCCTGCTGCTGCAGCAGATGCGTGACGTACACCTTCTGGGGCTGGTCCCTAGAGAAGGCCAGATGCAGCGTGAGCAGCCCGTTCTTCTCGTACTCGAGCAGCTCCTCCTCGTAGATGAAGTCCTCACTGCGCTTGCGGCACCCGAAATACAGCACCGACTCACCTACCGGCTTGCCCTCGGTCTTGGAGAGGTTGCGCTCCTGGATGAAGCCTCTGAAGGGGGCCAGACCAGTTCCTGGGCCGATCATGATGATTGGCGTCTGCGTTTTGGTCGGAAGTCTGGAATCGGAATGATGTTTCTGGAGAATATTGTTTTTGTCTTTTTCGCGGGAAATTTTCCGATAGTGGGCGCTGAGGTATGTGTCATAGTGTCACAAATGAGGAGATATTTGAAGCCAAATTCCAAAATTCTTATAAAATCATATCGGTTCGAAGTCATTGAACGGTCACGTCTGTGTTTATTATTTCCAAAATTATTAAACCACGAATTTTTGATTAGTAGTTGAACATAAACACAGGCATCGCATTGACTTCAACGAACCAGGAATATCCACCTGACTTCCTCACTGTCACGTTTCCAAAATATAGATTCAACTTATAAAAGGTCGTCATGAAATATAACTGTGCTGACGGTAGCTCTTCATCAGTTGGCAGTCATGAGTGTCAAGGGTCAGATTAATAAATGAACATAAAACAAAACAACACAACAAAACAAAAACTATTTAATAATCCACTGGGGAAATGTAGGACCCAATTTAACGAAGGTACATCCATATTTCATGAGATCAATTTCAAGGCGTAAAAATGGGAAAATAATCATAAAATATTAGCTCAATGACATTATGTGAATTCCTGAATTCAATAAATCAATAATATATTAGGATTTTAACTCTTACCAACAATCCTATACATTCATATATCCATCTGAGATATCATTTGCAATGTAAAATCAGAATCAAAATGAACCCTTGTCCATAAAAACCTGAATGTGGTGATGGATACTACTTCACCAAGTGAAAGCCAACTGGAGTCGAAGAAATCAGGACAGCAGGGCCTTCAGCAGTCTTTGGTCGAGACGGCCACAGCAAAAATTATAACAGACCAGCGCTACCTGGGACGACAGCTTAATCATAGTTATAAAATCCACCCCAGCAGGATAACCATGAATTGTTGGTCTAGCAGCAGGGGGCGTAGCATTCACCACAAAGTACTTGTGAAACCAGGAAGCGAGCCACAAGGTTGTGTAGCGACGTCCAAATTCATAGACAAAAAGAGATGCGAACATTGGTTGGTATTCCGAAAACGCAGATGGCATTTGGTATTTCGACGAGTACAAATTCCAGAAAAACTCAGTCATACTAGACTCCAGGTAGAACCATAAAAGTATTATTTTTTCCTGATTTTCTGGTTGGAATACACCACAGAGTAAAGAAAAGAACGAAATTTGAGAGGAACTCACCATCCATGAAGGGATAGGGTTGTTCAAAACCCGGCATCAACTACCAGTGCTCACGTGATTGGATCCTAGAGTCAGGTCTCCTCCAAATGCTTCCAAGCCCACACATTCAGCCTGCTTATTTTGGCAGATTGCCGAGGGATCAAAATCCAGAACCAGGAATTATTGTTGGGACCCAAGGGAGACCTCTCGCCGGTGGCCGATTCCAAAAAGAACACCGAGCCCAAAAAAAATTTCGAATCAAACCACCTCAATCCAAGGCGGAGACAAACTGTCCAAAGCGTCCTCTACCCCTTCTATGCTCATACCGAAAAATCTGGAATGGTCTAGAAGGATATCTCACATCCGTTTCCTTCTATCTAGCGGGAAGTTCGAATTCAACGAATAATATACCTGACCATTCTCTTCTGACCTATGAAATCACTCCACGTTCCATCGCCAGAAACGTAAGATCATTCACCAAGGACGAATAAGTCCGCATCCATAAAAGGCCCCTATAGTCGTGTCGTCCTTAGATAATAATAATAATAATAATAATATGTTTATTCAGAAATAATCATAACAATAATAATAACAGTGTAGCAATAGTAGAATAATAAATGAATAAGAGTAAAATGAGTAATTAATGAGGTGATGATGAGTAGATCATATGAATAAACATAGGGACACCGCAAAGTCCAGAGACTGATCGCGGCGTGGATAGTAACTATACCTTTAGCAGCCTATAGTACAGATATTTATATCAAACACAAATACAAAAATGTCATATTAGTAGGTAGGCAGTGCATGTATTCACTATATACATTTATAAAACGTAAATAAACAGAAAAACCCATTGAAGACCAGTAGGTTGCGCATGAGCATGAGTATCTGCATATTTATCATTCTAAAGAAGAATATATTACATAAAGCTATATGACATAGATCATGCTGGTTCTGTTGCATATTGATTATTCAACATGGTATGATGAATGGTTTAATGATGATGAGTATAAGAGAGTGTTGGGATGAAAATATTCTTCCTATTTTTCGATAAGAGCATGTATAATTTTTCTCTCTATCGAATGCAAGAAATGTTTGAAAGTTTTCTTGAAGAAATTGAAAGAGTTAATCTTAAGGACGTGGGTTTTGTGGATTACCGACAATTGGATGTGGTCAATTGGACGCACAAAAATTGGACGCGGATAATTGGACGCGGCGACAATTGGACGCGGCGACAATTGGACGCGACGAAAATTGGACGCGGCGGCAATTGAGCGCATGCGAGAATAAAAATAATTTTATAATTCCGATGAAAATTATTGCATGGAATATGCAGGGTTCATATCTATAATATAACAAATACCTAACCTAACCTAACCTAACATGTCAGGTATTTGTTATAATTATGGATATAAGCCCATCAGTATTTCATATTTTATACAATGAATTTCATTGGAATTATAAAATTATTTTTATTTACGCATGCGTCCAATTGTCGCCGCGTCGAATTGTCGCCGCGTCTAATTGACGCCGCGTCTAATTGCAACGCGTCCAATTGTCGCCGCGTCCAATTGTCGCCGCGTCCAATTGACTGCGACCAATAGTCGTGCGTCCAATTTTCCACGTCCAATTGACGCGACACCGGGTTTTGTAGATCTCCGGCAAAAAATTGAAAATTTTTGTAGCCATATATAAATAGGAACGCTTATCCAGAGTTTTCCGTGCTAGGTGAGAATATGCAAATTGCTGGTTCCTATTACGTGTTCCATACCTATGTTTTATACTTTGCAAACATTGCTTGTTTTTATAAATATACGTGATGATATTGTAAGCATATATTTGTCTAATATCCAGCAGTCTGGATTCCCGAAAGAGAGCATCGGAAGAGTATGTGATGTCTTTGCTCAATATGATCTTGATGATACGTTTCTGTAGCACTGATAGTTCTTTAAATGCACATTTGCTGCACTCCCCCAGGCCAGTATCGCGTACTGTAGACGCGATTCAACTAATCCATAATACAGTGTTTTGAGATGAGCCTCTTTAAGTAGACTCCTCAAATATTTAAATTTATATAAAAGCACTCTCAATGTTTTTGTCGTATTATTTATGTGGATATTCCATCGGAGATGCGAGTCTATTGGTAATCCCAGATATTTGATACTATTTTGGGATTGTAGCTCTATATATTTTTGTTCAATAACATTTTGTTGATTATAATGATCTTCGTTTATATTCAAAGTCTGGTATGATGGAAGAGTATTTTTGTAGCATGTGAAGGAAACATAAAACGTTTTTCCATAGTTGATTGTTAGTTTTTTATGTCTAAACCAGTTAAATATATTTTTAAGGTCCTGTTCAGCTGTAGCTTTGAGATTATCCCAAGAATCTGAAGTGTACATTATAGCCGTGTCATCAGCAAAGCTTATGATTTTCCCATCAGTGTTTAAGAAGAGGAGGTTATTTATATACACAGAAAAAAGTATGGGACCTAAAACAGTACCCTGTGGGACCCCATAGCTGATATGCCTTCGAGAACTACAGCAGTGGTTTATTTTCACTAGTTGTGTTCTGTCCTTCAAGTAACTTTCAAAATAATTCAATGTTACTCCTCTTATTCCGACTTCCTCCAGGGCGTTTAACAGCTGTGAATGACACACAGTGTTAAACGCCTTGGCAAGATCTAGGAAGACACATAAGGATAGTTTGGATTCATCGACTGACTTATATATACTGTTCATCAGAGTTGAGATTGCATCATTGGTTGACAAATTTTCTCGAAACCCAAACTGACGATCAGATAATATTTTATGCTTGTTGAGAAATTCTGTTAATCTTGATTTAATGGATTTTTCGAGTATTTTGGAGAACGTGGAGATCAGTGAAATAGGACGGTAGTTCGTTACTTTTTTCTCATCCCCTTTTTTAAATATCGGAATAACAACCGCATTTTTGAAAGCAGACGGAAATTTCCCTTTTTGAAGGAATTATTAATTAAATGAACAAGTAAAGGAGCCAGCAGGACTGATAATGATTTTATGGTTTCAGTTGTTATACCATCTGTGCCTGGTGCTTTTTTGTTTTTCAGGTTTTTAATTGTGTCCAGAATTTCTTTTTCGTTCACCGGTGATAAAAAAAAGAATTTAAGAGATGATTTTCTGTTGGTAATAGACCTGGTGGTTTTGTAATTTTTTTTTGCAAGGTTTGGACCTACATTTGAGAAAAAATCATTGAATTCTTCCGCAATATCTTCATTCTTGATAAGTGTATTATTATCGTCGGTTACAATTATTTTGACTTCTTTTTTTATTTCGCCGCCTTGTATTTGCTTCACCACATCCCATAGTTGTTTCGAATTATTATCACTATTCTCAATTTGTTGACTGTAGAAATCTGATTTCGCCTTTTTAATCATTCTATTCAGTATGTTTCTATAATTGTGAAATAATTCTTTTTTTTGAATACATAAGGGATCGTTTTTATATTCATGATAAAGTCTGTTTTTTTCGCTAATAGAGTTGATCAATCCCGTTGATATCCACTTGCTTCTGTGACGCCGTTGTCGACTTATCTTTTTTATTCGAGTACACTCCTCAATAAATCCGTTTAATAAATCTATCAAGTAATCCGTATTGCTATCTACATCATCATCATTGAAGAAATCTGACCAATCCCAGGCAATTATTTTATTTTTCAACTCATTATAATTAAGATATTTTATGACACGTTTCTGTTCCTTAATTTGACAAGTGTTATCTGAAATGGGGATATGTGCTAATGTGGCCATGTGATCAGTTATTTTATTATTATATACTATGCCAATACAGTCATTTTTATTGATTTGCTTTTTGCTTCTCAGAAAAATATGATCGATACAGCTACGAGAATTTCTCTGTATTCGAGTAAATCTATTTATGAGTGACACGAAATCATACTCTCCGAGGTACTTATCCACTGTAACTGAGTCTTTCAATATATTAATATTCATATCACCGACTATTATGTGATTTTCGACATTGTATTCCCGATTCGTTTGCTGGAGATAATTCGAAAGTTCATGTATGAAATTTTTCCACATCTGTTGCCGGAGATCTATAAATACTTGTGATTAGTACTTTGCCATTATTTATCAATGTAATTTCAGTCGTTATTACTCTACAATCTCCTATAAAGGTTATTTCACTGTCAGAAATAAATGTGTTTTTTATATATATAATAACTCCATCATTTTTGTTAACATTTTCTTCCTACAGTCTGGAACATTGAAAGTTTCTGTCAGGACTAAACAGTCATATTCATAAACCAATTGATTCAGATGGATTTTCAATTCATCCAGATTTTTATTGATGCTGCAAATGTTTTGTTGGAAGATATTGAAATAGTTGTTGTTGTCCAGCTGATTGAATTTATTATTCAGTTCAGTTACCGTTTCAAATTGTGGAGTATTCAAGGGGATGTAGTTTACATATCTGATATATTGGTCCATTTCTGTCCCAATTATAATCGCTTTGCAGTTGTGGACTTGAAAAATTATTAAAATTCTATGTAATGACTTTGCCGAAACAAAAAAAAATCAAAAGTATATACAAATAGTAGTTCAAATAATATAGCATACACTGAGATAAATAAAGAAAAAAACAATATACTAATAAAAATAAATAATCTATCTATCTGATCTTAGTCTAGATCATTCAGTACCTCGCCACAATTGATCGAAAAGCATATGTCCAGCGATGAAGACCAACGAAGAAAAAAAAAAATAATAATGAGAAGAAGAGAAAATAAGAAAAGAATTAGTAATGACAGATGATTGACATCATTAACTGACAAAAACAACACTTGACATTGATAACCACTGATAAATAAATTTTGGATGATCCCAAAATCTGTTTTCGATCATAATCTTGAGAAGAAAATAATAATGAATATTTACAAAGCATACCATGTACAATTAAATCCGAAGAGTTAGCTCTACACAATCCTGATCAGAGTTTATTTACATGCTCCAATATCATTTATAACATGGTTACCGTATGAAAGTTATACATGAAATTCATTTTTTCATTCTAACTTTCAAGGTCCAAAACTCCGTAACGAAGCGAGATAAACATATTTTTTATATGGAGTACTGACATTATTTTGAATCATTCTATCAGATCTATTATTTACGACATGACCATTCCGGACACCCTGTATAGATCGCGTTAACTCATGAAGATATACCCTGTCCAACTCATACAATGTGAAGAATTTGTGGGTCTTCAACAATGATTCAACACCACGTGACCATTTTCGTATGCAATCAACAATACATATTTGTTATCATTTGTAACATCATCATATATGTCATATTTGCATCTTGGATCATTCATGGCTGTAGTTTCCAGTGTGTACGTTCTGTGGTTCACGTCCTTTGATTGACCCGTTAACTTGTCAGCTGCCATAGCAGCCAATAGCTGACCTTGTTTACAAAAATTAAAAACAGGAATTTAAACTACACAGCTGTAGCTCATTAGCACCCAGTAGCGTTTTGTTGTCTTTTCTCCTGGGTTTGTTGATAGTTTATATGATTCTTGATTTCATTTTATAGTTCTTGCATTTGATTATTTCATTCACAATTATTACTTTGCAAAAAACAGTTTTTATCAAAACTACATCTCCAATTCATTGATAGCAGCCTATAGTTTTTGCATTTGATTATTTCACTCACAATTATTACTTTGCGAAAAACAGTTTTCATCAAGACAACATCTCCAATTCACTGTTGTGAAAAGGTAAGACCAATAATGAATCTCTCGTTTTCCTTTCAGGATAAAACTTTTTTTTGTGTGAAATGGATGCCTGATGGCACATTTCAGAAGTGGTACTCATAATCCTAATGGAACGTGGACATTATCACTTCGAAGCTGCCGGGAACAATTTCATGATGAATTACCAAATGCAAATATCCCATCCCCCAATGTTATATTTTGATAGCCGCTGTTAATTTCTAGTTATTTATCAACTGTGCAGTGTTTGTTGCAAACACATTTTGGTCACGTGGTGTTCAATCATTGTTGAAGACCCGGTACAAGCTTGCACTAGGTTCTATTATGGATATGAAATGAAACATAAACCTTCTTGTGCTGATTGAGTCATAATAATGTCTATACTATCAACACGCACACAAGTGTGGTTGACTCAGCAATTGGAGTCTCTTACCTAAACTGGGACTTGCGGATGAAGACAGGAACGACGGGCGCCTCTTTCTCCGGATCAGGGACCTTCTCCTTCAACCAGGTGGTGGCCACGCCCTTATTGTGCCGGCCAGTGGGCGTGTCATACTCTACCACTACGGCGGTGATGTGAACAGTGTTGGGGTATAGCTTGGAAGACGAGGAAATCGAGTAGTACCTGGAATGGAATCGTATATTTTGAGAACATTCGGAATAAATACATTTCTGCGTCGTTAGATTTCAATAGGCCAGTGGACTACCCAACTAGCATTTTCAGTCACAGGCACCATGGTTCAAGAAACTATTACATATATTTAGTGATAATAACGTATTTATCACTTATTTCAGAACTTCATAGTATAAATGTCAGTGATAGTTATTTAGTGAGTGAAAATTACGTAGTTTTTACACTAGATAATAACTTCAAAGTGAGAAATTCTCATGGCTTATTACGAAGTAACTATTTCGAAACTGTCACTCCTCAAAACTACTCTTAAGGTTTCGGAACTTTGGATATATTATTACGGTAACGCTTACCACCCCAAGAAGGCTTCACAGTTGCAATTACTCTATGGTCACCAATTAGGTTTCTACGACGTTGTCGTTACTTGATCGATCACCTAATAATTTAGTCAATTCTTGGTGATATTTCAAGTAACATATTGGTAATTCCTACTCAAACAATTCCTTCATAGTTGAAACAACTTTTCGGTAATTATATTCAGTTGAAGTTACCAATACATAGGTTATCATAACTGACGAGTTCCAAAAGTAACTTTCTGATTCATTTTCGATTGGAAGCCATATTGATTGATGTGATAACCATTTGAACAGGAAATAATTTTGGTTTTTCTTGTTGATAAACATCATTTTATGAAGAATAATAGCATTCGTTCGATCACAAATTGCATAATAATGGAAATTAACATGATTTACGATGATTTTTGAAAAATAGCCGAATGAAATAAAACCATATTTTTGGTGAAATGAGCCGTATTTTGTGGGCGCATCTTGAATTTCGAGGCAAAATCATCACATTTATCGAAAAACTGAATGTTGTTCGAATTTTTCAAGTTCGAGTATCAATTATTTCGCGTGTTTGTCCTTGTATTATTTATTGAATGGTTAGGCATATTGGACTTGTTCATTTTTCGTGAATGTGAACTTCATGGATGAAATGAAGAATAATAAAGAGAGAAAATAATATTTTTATGAAGTGGAAAAGAAATAGAAAGTCAGGTAGGAAAATTTACTACATCTTTACGTAATTTCGACGTCGACGGGTCGTAAGCATTACGTAATTGTGTGAGTTCCCGCTACGTCGGCAAACCGTAATAATTACTCGTGATTTGTTCCCCATTTTGGTCGTAAATACGTAGTAACGACGTAATTATAACGTAACCGCAACTAGTAAATATTACTTAATAGTCGACCCAATAGTCGTAATTACGTAATCGCGACTATAAATGCTAGTTGGGTATTATTTTCTTTATTTTTTAAATAGAATCATCACTCAACTACCTTCCAATTCCATATATTTTCAGATTTTTTCGGTCTATTTTACGGCCCTAAAATCATCAGAAATGCCGCGGAAATTTTCAAACGGCAAGAAATTTCTCGCAACTAACAACCGACGTCACGATTTTGTAAGTAGGAGCAGACAATAGCACGATTGCCATATGTTGAAATACGTTTGGGAACTTCAGAAATATTATTTATTAGATACTTTTTAAATTTTGTATTGGTAATATCCTTGATAAGCTATAAAATCCACTGTGTTAAAAGTTTTCCTATTATGTACTTTGGCTTATTGCTTATTATGCATTTGTGATATGAAATGATTTATTGCAGCATAAAAGGTTGTACATAAGTAAAATGCATAACATTTATCACCCTAGTCAAGATACAACTAGATAGTAGTTTTAAAATCGAACATAATGATAATGAACAAATAATTAATATGAATACATTCACAAACTGATTAAAATATAAGTAAAAATCATGTCAAAGTAATCTTTATAAATACATTCTCCAGAGTCTGGATATTCCTTTCTGCGAGACCATTAGTAGCAGGATAGTTTGGAGCAATATATTTCTCGAGGATTTATTGGAAATGCAGTAAACGTGAAATTCTTCGCTTTGAAAAATTGAAGCGTTGTCTGATACTATCACTTGTGGATAACCATGCATAGAGAAGATATTTTCTGAAAGAAAAATGGTTGATGAACTGGTTGATGCATCTTTTGAGATTTTTACTTCAATCCACTTAGATCTGGCATCCACGCACATCAGGAAGTAGCGGTCATCGAATTTTTTGTTCTGGTTCTGGTTCCCACAAAAAGTGATATCCTGTGATGTTCAGAGAACATTCCGAGAACCAAGGGAAATTAGGTAGGAATTGGTGTTTTTCTTGAATTTCTGGAGGTTATATGCCTCGGAGAACATCTCACTTGGCAATGTGTTCCAGAGCCTCGCTATTCGTCGGACGAACGAGTCTTTGGAAAGAGATATTCTGCAGGTCTGCGAATAGACCCGCATAATCGATGTGAATCCTTTCCCAATCAGAGTGTCCGTTAATTAGCAAAACCGTCAAGTAAATTAAAGAGTTCTAGAGATAACCCTATGAATCAGACATTCCCGTAATATTGGTAGAATGAGTCGAAAAATTAACATGATGCAAGATGGTTCGAAATCAATCCTAAGCAATACCTGGTCCGGACAATTTGATTGAAGAATATGTGGCATTATTTGATTACTCAGAATTGAAATGTATTAATCATCACCTTAAAAAAAGTGAGAATTCATTTCATATGTTACTTGCGTTCTATTTTTTTATATATGTTTATGTATCTCCATTATAAACAGGAATATTTCTTGGGTGGAAATGAAGAAAATCAATATGCATGATAGTTACCTAGGCTGAAGTCTCGGCAAGAGCTCACAGAGATGATCCAAAGCGGGCTGGCAAGAAGGCATATCCTCTATCACGTGTACGATATTCCTGTTGTCCTCAATGATCCACGACTGATAAAGAGCCTTTCCCTCGGGTGAAGTGCTCGACATAAGCCTCAATTTTTCCTTGTGCGCTTCATCGGTGCAGTACTCTGCCAACTCCTTGAGAACGTGGGTCCTTAGGAGAAAAGAAAGGATCTCCTTTGTATATCATATCATTACAAGTCCAAAAGTGAGAGATGAGAGGTATTTTCTCATTATTATTGAAAAAAATTGTCTCGCTCTCATAATCTAACCGCGTTTGAGCCTCTCCGATGACAGTTGATATTTGATATGTGTAACGCGATTTCTATTTTAGTTATATGTGAATTTGTGAATTTTATTATATTTGATGTTTCAAATTCATCTCATAAAGTTATTGTGAATGTGTGAATAAACTGATGAAGGAATGAAGGATAGATAGATATTTATTTATTTATTTCATTCTTTGCTATGAACATTACATTGCATCTCATATAAATATAAATAAAATCATTAACATTTACAATGGAATAACATGAATAATCAGACAGATTCATATCTGGTATGAGATTATTCATGCGTTATCAAATTAAATTATAGTTATTGAAATAAACAACAAAATCAAAAAAAAATAATAATAATAATAAAACAAAAAGCTCATGAAAAGTACATTATGACATGATGAAATAAATTAGTCAATGAGAAATCATTCACTCAGGTTTGATTTTCTCTTTGCAAGAGGATATGTTTCTTGACTTTGATTTTGATATCATCAGGTGATTTATTGAATTTTGAGATAGCTCCGTGAGTGAACTTTTTTTGACCAAGTGTAGAATGAGCAGCATCAAGATGTATGATGTTCATGGATTTGAGAATTCCTTACCAATATGAAGTTAGATTTGAGGTGTTTGTTGATAATATCAAAAGAAATTTTGAGAGTATTTATCAGATAGTGCTCTTCCAAAGAAAATGTATTTGTTTCTTCATAAAGTTGATTTGATGGGGTGTCATATGGAAGACGATACAGAACTTTTAATGCTTTTTTATATAGTACAGATATTTTGAAATTATTCTTGGAACATGAACCAAATATTTATGAGATAGTTCATTTTACTAAGGATGTGAGAGTATAGAACGGTATTTGCTATATTCGGGAGAAGTTTTGGACATCTTCTAAAGGCACCAACTATGGGGGACATTTTTTCTTTGAGCAATGCTTGTTACATGTTAACTTTTCATCAATAGTATAGGCAGTTTGTTTCGACCTTTTATTTTTTATTCTAATATTCAAATCAATATTTTGTTTATTTCTTTGATGGAAAATAATATATTGGGTCTTATTAGAATTGAGGGAAAGAAGATTGGAGTATCGCCATTCTTCCATTTTCTTCAAATCTGTAATGGAGTGTTTTTGACCAGCTTCATTACTAGACTGGTTTTTGATCAAAATCTAAGTACCGGAGCCTGATTCTAGTTGAATTTCACCCGTTCGAAAGCTCGAAACCTGAAAACCTGAGAGAGCTGAGTAATTCCTGACTTCTCACAGCTTTTCCTGGTGGTAAACTCTAATGAACATCATTACAACCCTAAAGACTTCATTCATATTTCCGAAAAAAAATCCAATTTTTGCAGCTCTTTCCATTATCTCTGTCTCTGGCGGTGTATTTATCAAAATCGTCACATCTCGGTATATACATCATATTATTTATTATGAATTGTTGGAACAATATTTGATGGAAAATGCGATTTCTATCAAGAGCACTAATGAGAACTACTCTGAAGAATTTACAAAACTTCTTCTGACAGTTGTGACAACTATTCAAAACTGAACAGCAGCCAAGTTTTAGTCGATTTTTGTTGATTCTCCATGGAAATGTATGTGGTGTTGGCAAAGTGCCGTGCGAAAATATATTTCTCACAGTATTAGCAATACATGGTTTTGAAACTAAGAAAGCTATGAGAAATGCGCAACTTTTCATAGCAGTAGTAGAAAAAAGCAATTTCCAGCGCCTCGATGTTGTCCCTACTAGTGTGACGTCACGAAAGCGATGCTCCGGCCCGGTGAGATAGAGTAGGCCCTTCATCACTACAACCAATCAAAACTCACTCACCTCGGATTCTGCGTGATATCCAAATAGTGCGTGAGTGCCGTCCTATACGAACACGGACACGGAAACGGGTGCTTCTTGCTCGACTCCTCATCCGTATTGATCAGCGTGAAAATAGTCTCCAAGTCCTTCCCACACAGCTTGCCGATCTTCTCAACTAGTTCTGCATCATTTATTGGGTAGACGGCAAGATGGTCGCCAGAATCATAGCGCATCTTCGATCCTTCGATGTCGAACTCGATGTGCATGCAAGAGCGGTCGCCCTGCTGGTGCAGCTCACGGTTGACTTTGATCTTGGCCAAGAAGGGGTTTTTGGCGTCATAGGGTCTGGAATGTAATAATTATTCATGATAGGCATATACGGGGTGTCTGTAAAAGGTTGGGACATGGCTCGGCTGTGGACTCCTGGGATACAAACAAGTTGATTTAGGCCAACTTACCTATCCGAGATCGTCTCGTTGAGTTGGTACAAGGCGTTGAAGTTATTTGAAAAAAAAATAATTTTGCTCATAAAAAGAGTAGGCTGAGATCGATTTTCATAATTTTTGACATGGCATGTTCTGTGACTCTAAGTCACATTTTGAGATGTTTTTGATCATCACCTGCAAGTGTTTCAAACAATCATGTTGCCGTACAAATTTGGTGATAACTTGGCAAAAACATCTTTTGGTCATAACTTTCCATCAGTTCCTTCGATTCGTCTGATTTTTTCATAGAATATTCCGCTACTACTCTCTAATCGACTGACTTATTCAGAATCGGGAAAATCCAGGACAGTTCTTGAAACAATTTGAGAGTTTAGTTTATAGCAAAAACTACATCCTGTATATCGTTTTTGTAAACTGTGACAGGGGATTTTCAAGGGTCACAAACAAACATCAAAAATAAATTATTCCAAATTTTCCTCACACTTTCAATGCAGTTTGAAAAAAAAATATAAATTTTATAAAAAAACGAAAATTTGTCAAAAAAATCATTCATATGAAATTCATACTTTGTAACCGGGTGGTTGCCCCGAAAATGAGTAATTATGTTAACAGAATTGTTCCATTGTCAAAATAGTGCAAATAGGTTGTCAACCTATATATTAGCTTCATATCCATAGCAATGAATTCATACAAATGAGAACCTCTTTCAAAACGGTTTGATTTTCATTATTTTGGACATTTTTAGAAGATTCTCTCCACGGGAATGATATTGGACTTCATGGAAATAACAGATAGTGGACATGAGAATGACAATAGTGAATTCCTAGGGTAGTACTTGTTGAAATAAATTGAAGAAATATATAAATAATTCAACAGAAACTAAAGGCATTCAAAAGAATCATATTTTGCGTTGAAGAATGAATTAACCTTGACATTCTCAGGAAATTCAGGATATTATAAATTCTCATTGGCTAAGATTCAACTATGTTAGAATAATATCATTTTGACCAAATTGAAAAATCTATAACAAGCTTTGTTTCCTGGTGAAACGAGAATTAGGTATTATTTGAAAAATTTACGTTTCATTATTATAACATGAAATTTTCGTCCAATTTGAAAATCTGCTCTTTCTTCATCATCACATAATTTCAAGAACATGACTTCCACTTCCCCATATCTCCACCAAATGGCACACTGACACATTCTTGTATTCAGACTTGGCTGCAGGAAGAATGCTAGTTTTATCAGCCTTCGGTTAATAAATCTATGTTTGTGTCTCCTATCACTTGACTTCTTGGCAAGCCACAGAAGAGTTCTCTTCAGATACTCTTAAACGCATATTATGCCTATAGCTATTTTTGGTTTGGCGATGAGAGCCTGGGAGTTCTGAAAACTTTTAGTTCATTCATGACATGGCAATGACTATTGGGACTTTCTTCGTCAAATATTAAATATATTTTGAGGAAAATTCAACGATATTAGATATACAACACATAGCCATGAATCCAATTTGGTACTCTACCTATTTTCTGGAAGCTTGAAGAATTATTAGATTTTTGTTCCTCCCGATACAACAAATTACTCATTCTCGGGCCAATTACCCAACCCATGAATTTTACGAATAAAAGTGAGACTCACATTTTCAATGTTTCAGCTCAATGGAAATCAACATATTATTTTATTTTCAGGCCTGGATTTAGTAATTAAATTTTTTTGTGGAGGAGAAATATGTCACAGTTTTATCTATTCGATTTGTTTTATTCAGTTAATTTAGACACTTATTTTCGGTACTAGAATTATTATTATTATTATTATTATTGTCAGTATAGCTTTCGATAAATGATTGTGAGTAAACCTTTATTATCTATTCTACTATCTTGAATTATTTGAATCGTTGACCATTAACATCTAAACAGATACCCATCCACTGATTTGAAAAAGATCTACAATGTGATTATTACCCTCCACACAAAATGAAATGACGAAATCCAGGCCTGAAAATGGAAGTACATGTTGATTTCCATTGGGCTAAGGTATTGAAAATGTGAATCTTACTTTTAATTGTGAAATTTATGCCTTGGAAAGTAATGTTTTTCCAACGAATAAAATTTTTTGTCTAACTTTCGTTTTGGCTTATAATTTATAGTTTTTGAAAAATTCTGTGAAAGTGTGAGGAGAATTTTGAATATCTTATTTTTGATGGTCGTTTGTGTGGTTTGAGAATTCCCTTTCACAGTTTACAAAAACCATATACAGGATGAACTTTTTGATAAAAAATAAACTATCGAAATCTTTCGAAAACCGTCCTGGATTTTTCCGATTCTGTATAGGTCAGTCGATAAGGGGTTCAGTAGATGAATATCACATAAAAAAATCAGGCGAATCCGTTGAAAAGTTATGACCAAAATATGTTTTTGCCAAATATCATAATTCACCCTATTTATTGGTAAAGAAGATAGGAAGACACTTTCTGATGGTCATTAGGTATTGCCCTCAAGGACCTCTATTCGTGGTGGGAGTATGTACAGTGTCTCATGACTCACCCTGTATCATTTTTAAATTACGAATATTTAATGAGTTTTTCAAATGTTTGACATAATCAATATGTCGTTTCATGGGAATAATGTAGTTGTTTGATACTTACGGTCGTTGGTTCTTCAACGAGTGCAACCTCGCCATTTCTCCGACGAACACCCTGTCCGGAGCTTCCTCGAACTCTTCGAGCCTGTATTGGTGCATGTTGATGTCTTCTCCTGTGGCTTCGATGCCGAAATGTTCGCAAACTGCAGGCCAGAATTTGTCCTTCCATGTGATGAAGTCGTCTTCGATGCTAAAAATGGTTGAATGATTTGAATTAGGCAGAGTCAATAGTATGATCGTTTTAATCTTATGAATACAAAAATATGAATGCTTGATAATGTCCATATTTCGACCTTCCAGCAGGCGCGCTGTAATAAAATTTACGACAAACACGCATAATATCTTCTCCCACTATTATCTATCAGTCGGACACATTGAGGTCCGAGCTATTCGAGTTTTAGTGTCTCTTCAAACTATAGACGTATCAGGTTTGCACAAAATTGATCGTTATCCTGTGATATTTGGAATAAGTAAGTACAGCGATTAATTACTTTTCCTGATTCTTTTTTTATTTCTCGCTGTCATATCGTTATATCATTCTTCATACCTTTAAAGAAATTCCCCGAAATTAATTTAAAAAAATACACCATTGAAATGAAGAAAACTTGATGACGTAAAATTTACAACAGGCGTCTGTTCAAGGATAACAACTTTTATCCCGCACGCTGAAAGGGAGTACTGTCATACCCTCACCGCAATTTTCCAACATATACAGAGTAAGTCATGAAAACCATCAATCCTTCTCAAAGTAGTCCAAATTGTTTATGAAGGGTGTCCAGATATGAAACCAAGAAGACTTTTGGGGTTATAGGGACTGCCAATATGATTGCAAAATGCCACATTCGAATGTCCAAGACTGCTCCGTTACAGAGTGTGAGCGTGAGAGTGATTAGTGCATTTGGACAAAAAACTCATCCGCCATATTACATACAGGGATTACCCGATTGGATTGAAACTTTGTACATGAATTGAGCTGAAAGGTTTCAACAAGTAGTAGCCCTTTGATCGAAACCAATATCAGGACCAGAATATCCTTTTATTTTCTATGATTAGTTATTGTACCCTGTATAATAATTTTCAATAATCTGAGCTCATATTATGAATCTACGGAAAAAATACTATAGGAACTTGTTGAGAAAGTTTCTGGCATTATTTCAGTTATTCCGAGATAAATTAGTATTGCAATTTTTTCACTAACAATAATTGTCGGATAAAATATATTCAAAAATGGGAAATTAATAAATATTTACGAAACCAAGACATGTTGTCATCTTCTTTGATTACTTCGTAGTAATATTTTATAAATCACTACCAGAGTTACTCTCGTAACATAAAAAAACCTGAGGAACAAACTCGTATGAGGACCAGAATGTCTTTTTTTATGCTATTGTAAGTATAACTGACCTAGTATAACAATTGACAATAATCTGATCGTAGATTCGGAATCAACTTAAAAAACCGTATAGGACTTGTTGAAAACGGACTCGAACTATATTTTTTTGTACTGAACATAAGAAAATAAATGAATTCGTAAAAAACTTCCACTAGTATTACAATACAATTCGAATTTTCTAGTTGATCCCGAATCTATGATCAGATAAATTATGATTGTTATACTAGGTCAGTTATACTTACAAGAACATAAAAAATACTAATTCCGTCCCTGATACGAATTTATTCTTCAGGTTTTTAGGTTATAAGAGTAATTTATGAAATATTAATTCGAAGTTATCGAAGAGAATAACAACAAATATGTCTTGGTTTTGTAAATATTCATTATATTTCCATTTTTGATGATATTCTATCTGAAAATTACGACGGAATAAAGGAAATAGTGCCGGTAATGTTTTCAACAAGTTCCTATAGCATTTTGCCCGTGGATCTAAAATATGAGCTCAGATTTTTTATAATTATCATACAGGGTGAGTTATTCTCGTTCTCACCATAACTCAACATAGGAACCAAATATATTCCGGTACTGATATTGGTTTCGTTCAAAGGGCTACATGTTGAAGCTTTTTGGTTCAATTCATGTAACAAATTTGAACTCAATCGGGTAATCCCTGTATTTAATATGGCAGAATGAATTTTTTGTCAAAATCCACAAATAACTCTGTATGTCAGTAACGAAGCAGTTTTGGACATTTGTACATGGCATTTTGAAATCATATAGCCAGTCCCAATAACCCCATGGGATCTGCCGACTTCATCTCTGGACACCCTGTATGTGCGCTGCAATATGAGATTGAAAAAGGAAAACGGCATTTGAATAAAGGAAACCAGATGAAGAGAAATTTATGACAAGTGCCTGCAGCAAATTTCGGTAAATTCTCCAATGGTCAGTGAATGTGTCCGTCATCATGGTAATGTGATTTACTGCCTCCAGCCACATGCGGATTGCTGTTCAAGATGAAAGCCAGTGTAAATTTGATAATTGTGCTGTCCTAAATGTTCGGTGCTTTTTTTTCTCCTCAATTGTTGAACATGAGGCCTAACAGGGTTTTCCCCATTCAAATAATCAACCGAAACTCGTTCAACATATTATAAATGTATTTTTAGTATTCAGTTCAACATACATGTTTTCACCTTCATGTAAGCCACCTTATGGTAACTAGTTCATTTTATGTACCTACGTAGTAATTGTTCAGATATTGTAGGACTAATTTCTTAATCAGTTGATGTAATTTTTATGAAATGTTGAAGAAAAAGTATAGATTATTTACGCGTCTAGTATTTACAAAGAGGTCCAGACATTTATCTACGACATCATTATGGTACAAACGGTACTTACAGTATTGATAACTAGTCAGAACAGACATACATTCAACAAAATGAATCCCAATGGGTTATTGGAATTTTTTTTCAAAAATACATATTACAATATTTTTCGTTCAGGACCGAAGGAGAGCACGAGGGACCTATACCTTAATTATTCTGATGAAAACTAGACACTAACCATAACCAAATTGTTGACAGAGACTGAGTGTCAATGCCCATGAATGAATTGACATGAATACGAAGTAGACAAATGACATAGTGACCACAGAGGGTAGGCATGAATTGACATTATGAAGAAATAATTAATTTGATTTTTGGGGACCTTCAGCCAAATAAATGATTTCAACTATTGGCCATTTGATTTATTCTCAAAGCAGTGAAGCTAGATCTACTGAAAACCTTCGCCAAAGATTTTCAATTGAGATTCAGAGAGGCAATGCTGCTTGCATTCTCAATACTATACCATCGAGCAAAGGTCTCGAAGAAATCTTCTATATACTGGGTGATGCATTTCCAATAAGAACCCGGACTTGTGCAAGCAGATCTACACAAGAAAATCCATGTAAACTCGTTAAACCCATCCATGCTGTTGATCTCCCACCCACGCCAAGTGTCGTTGAGTCATATTCGAGTAACCTGTCAACCTATTCAACACCATCTGGTCAACCATCTGAAAATCAAAATTCAACATCGATATATCTCCGATCCAGCGATGAAAATTGTGAATACTGGTTCAATGACTGTCCAATATCCTGGAAGAAATTTGGTCTTAACGGCTTGAGAAACACTGGGAACACGTGTTTCATGAACAGTATCATTCAGTGCATGTCTCACACTAAGTGGTTGTTGGAGTATTTGATGATGGACTTATATAACAGAGATATTAACACAAGCATATCCAGCACGAAGGGATATTTGATGAAGGCTTTCGCAGAAGTCATAAAAGAACTGTGGTCGGAAGATTCGACTGACCAAGGTGTCAATATGAACTCTTTGAAGTGCACAATCCAAAAATTTGCGCCGTGCTTCATCGGTAATGCACAGCAAGACGCACAAGAGTTCATGCGCTCTCTGCTCTTGGGTTTGCACGAGGATATCAATAAGGTCATCGAGAAGTCCGATTCTGAGTTCACAGATATCGTAGAAATTGTGGATGTCAACGAAAAGGCTTTGGAATCGTGGTCGAGAATCTTGAAAGTGGAGAATTCGGAGATAGTCAATAATTTCGTTGGTCTGCTTAAGTCTTAAGTCTTCATTGAAATGCACGTATTGCGGCTATTCCTCAGTGACGTTTGATCCCTTTTGGGATTTGTCATTGCCAATACCACAGCGAACGCGCCAACTAAGTTTGTTCCAGTGCTTGGACTCATTTACCAGAGAGGAGTCATTGGATGGCGAAGACAAGCCTACTTGCTCCAAATGCAAGGAAAGGCGAAAATGTACAAAGTCATTATCTATCCAGAGGTTTCCTGAAATTCTTGTCTTCCATCTGAAACGTTTCTCGCTGGATCTGTTCGTAGAAAAACTGAACGTCACAGTTGATTTCCCTTTAGAAAAACTGGATATGAGCTATTACGCAGCCGATGGAAGTGTACCGTTCCACTACGATCTATATGCTATTTCAAACCATAGCGGTACCATCAACAGTGGTCACTATACGGCCTACTGCAAATACCTTACTCGAACATCTGGCACGAATTTAACGATTGTCGTGTTTCTTCAATTTCATCAGATTCGATCATCAGTAACAAAGCGTATTTACTATTTTATCAGAAAAATACCCATGTTGTAACAGCCACCACTTCCACAAGCAAAGGCTGCTCTTCGAGCACCAAACCCGATCAATTCTCAGATATCACCCAGTCGCAAGACAACACCAAGTTTATCCTTGATGATTCCAGGAAAAGTTTTGCTTCGGATCTAGGTATCAACCAACATAGTTCGAAAGATGGGCATGTGGGATCTTCAAATTTAGTCTCATCTACTGAGTCAAAACCTAGGAGAGGAAGGCCCAAAAATAAGCCTTTTGAAGATGAACTAGAACTCTTGGTGAATAGGCCAGCACATCATGAATCAGGCAGGCCGAAACGCACCTGTGTTGGTCAATCTACTCAGCATGAAATCGCCGGCCAGCACTCTGAAGATTCACAAGAATCGAGGTCCTATAGTTGTCGAGGCTCTTGTTAGCATGAACCTGGGGCAACTATATATTTGGAACTTCAAATTTTTCTTTCAACTTAATGAAATGTACTTATACATTAGTATAACAATTTATTTTCCTCATTATTTATCAATTTCCGGTGGATCAGACATTGTACATAGTGTGAAATCTACTCTGTACTATTATATTTAGAGAAATAAATAGATTTAAATTTTGAAAAATAATATGAGAGGAAATTAACTTTATTCCAG